CGCGAGGAGAAGCGTGAGAAGGAGGGTGAGGAGAAGTCTCTCGAGGACCGCCAGCGCGAGCAAGATGCCACCCTTCCCGCACGCGCACACGGCAACGAGCCCTCCAAGGGAGCCAAGATCGACCAGGAGCTGAGGGAAGAGGACGAGGCTATGCTCAAGAAGAAGGGCGCCAACTAAAGTCGTTGTGATGAATGACGATTTCGATACCCCGCACACATACTCAGCGTGTTAGGAGTTGGAGGAGGAAAATAATGACTTGGATTGACGATAAAACGTCTCCATGAAGCCCGCCTGAGACATGGCAAAGGCATGAATCAAATAATTTCAACTGAACATGTATTGCCAACAGTGTGTGACTGTGAGAAGGTTGGAGCCAGGTCCTCGTGCCTTGACGCGAGAGTTCTCCACATTGTCGTGCTTACCCCTCGGTGCCTGACTCGTGCAGCCTCGGAGATACGCCGATAGCGACCTCCTAACCGCTGCCTTCTGTCTCCAAATCCCCAATCGCCTCCCCCGCGTCCTGCAAACATCAGTTGCTGCATTACAAAGCATTGCGGTGTACATGCCTAATCTCTCGTCATCTCGCCAATTCCTCCGCACTGCTACTGCCTTCGCCAAAGCTCCCTTACGGCCCCGCCTCGCACCTACAAGCACCCAGCTATCGAACATCCTCCAACAACATACCGCAAACATGTCGACAAAGATGGCAGAGCGCCTAAAGGGCAAGACTATCGTCATCACCGGTGCTTCTTCTGGCATTGGCAAATCCACAGCAATCGAATTCGCCCGGACACAGCCCGACGACCTCAAGCTTATCCTCACTGCGCGGCGAGAAGACACATTGAAAGAGGTCGCTCAGGAAATTCAAGGCTTTGCAAAAGGCGTCAAGGTTCTACCAGTCAAACTTGACGTCAGCAAGCCGGACGAAGTCCAGAACTTTGTCGGAAATCTGCCACAAGATTACAAGGACATTGATGTGCTCGTCAACAACGCGTATGCCACCACCTCTTCAAATACCGCTTACTGTCTGCTAACAATGAATCTAGCGGCCTTGTAAAAGGTGTTGCGCAAGCTCCCGACATCTCACCCGCCGACATCGACACCATGTTCAGCACAAACGTGACCGGCCTAATCAACATGACGCAAGCCATCCTACCCATCTTCAAAGCGCGATCCACACCCTCCGGCGACATTATAAACATTGGTAGTATTGCAGGTCGCGAGCCCTACCAAGGCGGATCCATCTACTGCGCTACAAAGGCTGCTGTGCGCTCCTTCACAGATGCCATGCGCAAGGAGCTTATCGCTACACGGATACGCGTCATCGAGATTGATCCTGGACAAGTTGAGACAGAATTCAGTGTAGTCAGGCTTGGAGGCGACAAAGAGAAGGCGAAGAAGGTCTACGAGGGTGTTGAACCGCTGACACCGGAGGACATCGCGGAGGTTGTTGTGTTTGCTGCGGGACGGAGGGAGAATGTCGTGTTGGCTGATAGTCTGATCTTCCCGAACCACCAGGTATGTGCAACCGGAGGAACGAGACATAGTACACTAACGTTGTATAGGCGGCAGCGACAGTCATGCACCGGAAACCTACCGGTCAGTAGATGCGGCGATCGATGTGTACATAGCGACTACTTATCCGCAGTTCAGAGACGAAGCAAATATCCAGAATTCGACCTTCCTTATGAAAGACCTGTTTGCTGGCCACGACCTACCTCATGTTTCATGCTTGCGACTCCATCTCATCCCGTCTCCTCACAATGTCTATCCCTTCTTAATTCTTGTCTCCACATTCACGCGGACTGTCTTCGAAACAGGTGGAAGATGAAAATATAGCCTGGGCCCCGCCCCGCCGTTGCTGTGGTGAGCGCTGGCAAAAGAGAGACCCGCTTCTGGATAACTCAAACGCTCACACAGTTTTTGTACACACCGACCCCAGTTGTACCCCACTATAGTGGTGAGCGACCACGCCTTTCGTCCCACATCATCTCGACACTTAACTCAAGTAGCTGGCCATCATGCAAGCCGCGCGCGTTTGAGCGCCGGGTTTTCTACCACCACAGACGGAAGCACAGCAGTCAACCGACAGACAACATGGCGCGACTACGAGTTCCCGCATTCCCAGTTGAAACTCGTCGCGCGAATTATGCCCATGAAGGAGCCGGAAACAAGACGCCTAGCCGACCTAATCATTCAGGCCCACAGCCTGAGATCAATGTAGCCTTCGATCCGTCTGCCAATGATCCCCCTGAACATCCCACTTCCTTTCCGCGCATTGTAAGGAGCTTCGCGTTAATGGACGTGAAGACAAAGCGAGATGTACAAGGTTACATTGTCGGACAGTACAAGGCCATTAAGCAGATGGGCCACGAGCACATCACCGCGACTGGCACCAAAACAGTCTTCTTCCTTGGTCAAGCACAGCAAGAGGAAGAGTTCGACATATTAGACGAGGATATGAAGACCGACCTGGGCGAGTACATCAACGAGGATGAGGATGCGGATCGCTCATGGCGTGGGGTTTGCGACTTCATGCAGAAAATTCCGACCTCCAAGGCTGTGGCGCCGACAGAGTTCAAGGATAAGAATATTTTGGATACTGAGACACCTCATCAAGCCCGCTTGATGCGCGCCCAGAGTGCGCCCTCTCTGGCTCGATGTATCGCGAATGCTAGCTTTGACAGCGCCGGATCAGAGACAGACTCTGACTCAGAAGACGACGACATCGATCTTGAACTGAAAATCGAGAACGCACTCTCGTCCTTTGCTAAAAAGGTCGAGGAATTAGAGGATGTAGCAGGAGCGCTGTCAATCACGCCACCCGGCCGCACATATTCTGACGCTCACCCATTTACGCCATCGCCTCCCAAGGACATCGATATACCTTACCCCTGTGGACCAAAGCAAAACTCTCGACTTCGTCGTCATAGCGGTAACCGTTCACTCGCATCACTGATCGCTCACGTTGAGGACCACCGTACGCCTTCGTGCTCGTCACCTGATGCTTCGCTTTCTTCGTGCCCACTAGCTGCAGGTACCACCTACAGTGTTATCCGTAAGCCCTGCTACGACCCAAACTTTGAGGGTCACAGCCCTTGCGCCACGCATGATGAGGGAAGCTGCGGACTTTCAGCGGATGACGCTCTGGACATGCTACAAGAACGCTTTGGAATTGTACATTGCGCTACTGCTGGCACCGGCTTTGATTGTCGCGAATGGCTGGAATACAAGCTTGAGACCGGGTGCAGCATGGTACATGGCCCGTCGTTGCTACGATTTGGGACGAACTGCTATGGACCTGAAAAGCCCGGGCAGATCAAAGACGCGGGTGATAGCCCGTACGCTAATCAACCCGAAGCTACGGCTCGGATTCGCACTTCGTCTTCTAACGATACCCTGAATACCAAATCGTCCGTCCAAAATTCAGTGTTCTCAAAATGCACTTCGAGGACTTCCATTTCGTCTTACCGGACCAACCGTCCACAGTCTGCACGAACTGAACATTCTCGGCTTATGAACGCACTTGGCCCCGACAACGATACTGGAAAGTGCGGACATGGCTATGGAATCTCTGCAAAGACAGGGTGCAATTCTTCTGTCGCAGGTATTGTTCCAAAAAGCGAACACTTTCAAGGTTGTGCAGGTGGCACTGTGCGGGGTGGGAAGGTTGCACTCAGTCCACCTATCACCACTACCAAAGAATGGTCTAGTGGACTGCAGACGTGGGAGGGTGAAAGCTGGCCCAACGCATCCGAGCGCATTGGAAACGACTTTGAAGACGCCCAGAACTCTGTCACGAGGAATGAACATGAGGCTCGCGACGTAGAAGAGCTTTCACAGCTACATGCGTCGCTAACGATAGCTACGGACAATAACGAACCCATGCGGCCTGAAGTCATCGCCAACCGCCCATATGCGGCTCCGCTTACGTACGAGGAAGCCGCCGATTTTATTGAACATGTCGCCACTAATTCGGATGTTCATTCCGAATGTTGGTCAGAACCCTTGGAGGGTTGCGCGAAACCGCGCCGCAAGTGGACTAGCAAGATGAAGCATTGTCTCAAGAAAATACCCCAAAACACAAAGCAGGCTACCCACAACTATGTCAGAGCGACAAAACGATTCTCACGGACTGCTTGGCGCGTGTTGCCAGCTGCGCTGTCGAGCCGACATCCGTTCCAGAAGATCGACAGCATCCTCTAGATGGTCGGCTGGGGAACTGGATCTGCGTCGGAACTCTTTAGGTGATCCGACTGGTCTCACGGACCGTTCGCGCTGCCTCCGCAATCCACCCGGAACGATGGTTCGGCGAGCGTTTGGGCCCACTTCAGACCGAACATATGTTGGGGACATGGTAGATGCGTTGGAATTGATTGGAAAGCCCCTGTGAAACACTTTTCATTGGACGACACAGACATATTTTGTAGAGCATCTTTGCTTTTACTTGAATTCTCTTTTGGCGCGCTATGAAACCTCGATTCTAGATACCCACCTGCATGCATCAGTAGCATTTCCTGTATGAATATAAGCCCTGCCATGTGCCCTCATCGCACTTCAAGCATTTTGTGTGAATTCCAAAGTGTGGTCGTGAATGACTAAGCCCACGAGGAGTGAACCCTGGTTTGATCAAGGGTCATCCACTGCCGCGACGTCACCACACAACGCTCTCACTTGCCAAAATGTCTTCGGTTTCTCATTCTTTACACATTTCACTAGTTAGCCCGCTCGTCGTTTCCCTCTTTACGAACGACTGCGTCTCGACCACCACCACGGACATTTCCAACGCCAAGAGTGTGTAAAATAGTGGACTCTCACCATCGCACACCCACGAGCGAATTTGCAACTGCCTGGTTTACGTCACTCTTTCCATCACATTATCGCGTAGTATCAACCGCACTGCGATCTCGACAGCCATCACTGAACTTGATACGACGACGATCTCCAACCCTTCGATTACCACTCACGGTCACCAAACCAAAACAGTCACACAAGCAATCATGGCTTCCGACACAGTCGCTAGTGTCAATCAGAAATTCAACTGGGCCGACGACGACGAGGACGAATTTGACTTGGATAGCTGGAATGCTACCGTCGACACCTCCGCGCCCACTGCCGCCGAGCTAGGCCCTCTCCAGGTCGCTCCCACTGGAGATGACACGAAGGAAGGCGAAGTCTACACGCTATCCCGCATCTCCAACGAGCGCGCCTATTGGGATCCTCTCGCCATCCAGGAGTCGTCAGACGCGGAGCCTACCCCGGAGGCAGAGGCAGAGCCAGTTGTTGAGCCGCCAGCTGAGCACTGGCATATCGCCGTACTTAGCTGCAGTCCAGAACATCAGGTCATGTCTGCGCGGTACACTCTTATCACGCACGCTATTGGTCCTTCTTATGAAGGCAAAGAAGAGTCCGACGTCCCAGCCTATCCAGAATTGAGTGAGTACCCGGGCCACCGGTCTTACTATGCGAGAGGGTTCCGGGACTGGAAGATGAAACATAGAGGTTTTTCGTCTAGAAAGGTCTATCGTAATTCGCCCTTGAACATCGTCACTTCCATCGACAATGCGCATGAGATCGATGACATTGTCGACCCCGAAGAAGGGGCGGTAGAAGACGCCGATCGCGAGATGAACGAGGAGATTGATCGCATGATTGATGATCAAATCACCAACCATATTGATCAGTTCCAGTGGTTCTCCAGGACAGAACTTGAGAACTTTTACCACCAGTTCAAGGCTCAGGAGCAGAAAGCCGAGACTGGAGACGACGTGTCAGATGATGATGATAGCGATTCGGACGACGGCTGGGATCAAGAGGCTTACGAGCCATACAACGGTCCTGTTCACGACGAAGAGATGTCGCCGACAACCACTGCATCAGTGGAGGACAACGAAACAACGTTCGCGATTACCCGCCCATTCGCCGACAAAGAAGAGGAGCTGGACTTCAACAACGTCGTATTTGGAGACGATGACAGCTGTGATCAGTCGCAGAGTCAGGATGAAACCGACTCTGAGCCCAGCGATGAGGGCTATGTTTCCTCTTCACCACCAGACACTCCTTTTTTCGAAACCTTCAACAAAGCGGACAGCGTAGACGCGCAAAACGCCTTCAATCACATCAATGCGCGACTAAGCATGTCATCCAGGCGCCGCAAGACAATTTGTCGGACGGAATCCATGGACGCGCTCAACACATTTAGGCAAACTGCCAAGTTTGAGCAGCGTGTCGAGGACGCTTTTGAAGACGATGAAGACGACGAGGACTTTGGAGATCAACAGGAAAACTTCGGCATCGATGATGAGCTGGATACATCATCGGATGTCATGGAGAACACAGAGTTTGTCCTCGTCGTTACACCACCCGAGGATGAGCAAAGCACGCAAGACTATCTCTCCAGCCCTGCGACACCTTTATCTTCAACAAGAGCCACTGTATCCGCTTCGACTGAAGAGGACGACCAAGTCATTTCCGTCAAAGACGAATCACGCGGTATCCTCAATTCAGCCTTCACCTTCCCTAGCATATCCGCTGGTGAAGCCTCCCTCCCAAAGAAAGAGATGAGTACCGCAGACACGGTAATCGACACTTCCAAAACCTCCTCCCGGCGCTGGACCGATCCGCCAAAGTACGACCCTACCCTTCCAAATGTTTCACCATCGCCCAGTCATCGGCACCCAAGGCACACGAAGCATGCAAAGCATAGCTCTGTCTCACTGGACTATGTTGTCGGCGCCGTCTCAAAGAGCTGGCTCTACGTGGGCCAAGTGCCCTGGACGCAGATTGGTATCATGGGCGCTGGAGTAGTCGCCGGTGGATTGTTAAGCATGGCGGGGCGTACCTGAGTTAGCCCGCTCTTCCTTTCTGTATGTTCTTTTCTTTTCTTAAAATTTGGCTGCAAAGTTAGCGGAGGCGAAGTTATGCTGGCATTGCTGGTGGCATTATATACCCGGTGTGCTGTTCACCTACACATAATATGTGTCTCAAAAAGTATAAAAGTTAAACATTAATCAAGAAAAGTTATCACTATACTAGGAATCCACCAAGCCGTGTGACCGCTCCGAAGTTGTCACTAGTTGCAAGTACCAATGATAAAGTAGAAGTTCAATACTCAAGTCACAGTTAATATCCTTAACAAAGCGAATGTCATTTGAGAGCTGCTGTATCTACATCTGACTCACCGCCTTCAGAGCGACTACCCAGACATCTCAAGCATTACAAGCAAGCTTCCTCCTTGCTTAAACAGGATGAGCGACCTTGGCCGTCAACAGGCCCCTGATGTTTCCAACAAAGAAGCTCAAAATGAAGCAAGCACCACCGAAAGCGATCGAGATCCAGTATGGCCACCTGTACGCCAATGCGAAAGCTTCTTGGGAAGCACGCAGGACAACAGGGAATGCATCTCTCTGCAGCACTTCCTGGTTGGTAGCAAAGATCTCCTTGACTTCTTCGAACCGAGCATTGCCCATGAGGTTGGTAACGAGGGTGATGACGGCGATTCCGTCGGCCGACAGAGGGTTGATGATGGCGCCATACGCCAATGTCTTCTCCGCGACAATTTCAGTGAGGTGGATGGTGACCTTGCGGAAGAAGAGGTTGGAGTAGACTGCGAAACCAATCGCACCACCGAGGTAGCGGATACTGAGTGTGATGGCTGTGATGGTTGCGATTTGTTCGTCCGGACAGGCGATCTGCGCGATGATAGAGGAAGGAATGATGACCCCGCCAACTCCAATGGATGCTAGTGAGATGAGGGCGTACACTACGTTGAGGTTGTCGGGTGTCGCAATGCACATGGCTCCTGTGCCGGCTGTCATCATGGCCGTGAAGAAGATCATCAATTCGCGGATGCGACCCTTGGTGGTGGGGATGAGGACGAGGCAGATGCATGCACCGCCAATGATGCCGAAGCCGATGGGAAGAGAGCGGATTCCGACGCCAACCGGGTCGTCACCTAGATATATGTTAGTATGGAAGTAATGGGAGAGATATTTGTGTCATGCTTACCATAGACGTTGTAGATTTGAGTAGGCCAGAAGAGCAGCAGGACGAAGTAGTTACCACCACTAAGGAATGTGATAAGAAGGATAACTATCATGGTCTGCTTCGCTTTGTGGAAGATTGCCCTGGGAACCATGGGGTGTGGAGCATACACCTCCCATACGAAGAAGGCGATGATGAGGATGATGCCGAGAACGAGAGGCACGATGTTGTGTGGGCTGCCCCATTCATACTGTAGAGTGTCAGCAGTGCAATGTAACCTGCTTCGGATGGTATACTGACCTGTGATGCACCCCATTGTAGACCCATCATAAAGAGAGTGATACCACATGTGCTCAAGATGCCACCAATGTAGTCGACCTGGCGGAGGACATGGCGGGCGGTGTACTCTTCCGTCAAGCGCGACGGGTCCTTGTAGCAGAAGACACAGAGTACCAACCCGATGAAGTTCCATACACAAACCAAAATACCATTGTAGCGCCAATTGCTCTGTTGAGCGATCAACTGAGCCCACAACACTGATGGGCAGAAGGGAAGGATGGTGATCACGACAAGACCGACGTACTTGCCGCGATCCTTGATGGGCACGATCTCTGCTGTACCGGCGAGTGCGATGAGCTCATTGAGACCGGCACCGATTCCCGAGAAGACCTGACCGGCTACGAGTCGTTAGGTTTGTGATGTTTCAAATAAGGTTGCGGTACTTACCGATAGCGATGTTCATGGTATGCGCAGTCACTGTGATAATCGGCCCGACTATGAGGCACAACTGACCCACAATAGCCACCTTCTGTCGCCCAAACAGGTCGGACAACGCGCCCACAAAAGGACAGAGAGCCGCATTGGGGATGAGGTATCCGATGACGAACCAAATGTATCGATCAACTCCACCAACATCCTGATAGATGAGCGGAAGAACTGAGCCAAAGAGGAAGAGCGGGATCTGAGAGCCGATCCAGAGGAATGACATGCACAGAAGCGTCATGGCCAGCCTTGCGTTCATCTAGGGGTGAATTAGTATATGATCAAGCATTCAGGGTCTTACACTCACCTTCTCGTGGACTTCTGGAGCTCTGCTGGTAATGGGCGCCAACTGCTGCTTCTCGGGCTCGCTAGGTGGGGTGCGAGTAGCCACCATCTCGAGTTGGCTCTGGCCATTCTTGTCGACTTCGTAAGAGTGGTCTCCGGATCTCATCGTCTCATGCATCTTGACGGTGCAAAGCTGGGTGGAGGTGCAGTCGTAGAGAAAGAAAGTTCGGGACGTTCAAGTAGTTTAATGATTGTCCTGCCCTAGCAAGGCGGACTATCGATACGTCGTCCTAGTCCCCATACCATTCCCTCGTTTCTCACCTGGCACTGAGATGAATTGACTGAATCGACACTAAGTTCACTCGAGCCGCGGTAACATACTGGCCTGCGCGGGGCTGGGTGGTCGAATGACTAGGGTCAAGACACCCCTCATCCAACAAGGCTGCGCCAACCATGCCGTCTCGCCCGTTTGTAGAGCTGTAGATCATAGTGAAGTGTGTGGCGTGCCATTCGGCGGGGCCCCCGCACCTGGGCACGCCTAGTTGCTAGTCGCGCTAGCGTCCGGAGCATAAAGCTTGCATCATTGGTGCGGCCGGCACGCTTTTTCTCCTTTACATGAGGCTTGCCTCTTGGCTCTCTATTTCTCGATGTCTTTGGAATAGCATTGTCCCGTTTGGCTTCCTGAAGACCTCAATGAAGTCCTCCGTTCGAATGCTCTTTGTTGACCCTGATGTCCAATCATGGAAATCTTGTAGTCGCGGTAGTGTCTGGTGTGACAAAAGGACCTGGGCCGTGGAATGTGACTCTGATGAGTGCTAGGAAGGACGTCGTGGGAATGTTGGCACAATCCTATCGAGGGCGGTCCTTGAGCGCTTGCAGGATCCTTAGGTAGCGCCCAGTGCGATGGGTGGTGTCGATCGCTTCTAGATGCTTGATGCACCAAGCCACAGAACGGTATCTGGAAAGTTACCGAGGAACTTTGAGTTACTACTGTGTGTGCCTTCGATGACATAGGTATTGGCATGAGCCACTGCCACGGGTGCACGTGGGAACTACGCCTTGACAAGGCCTCCAATGTTTAGGCCGGGCTGACGTTTGTTGCGCATTTTACTGCCATAGTTTTATATAAAGCGGTTTCGCGTCTGTGATAGAAGTCTGATTGGGTTCTCGCCGTGCTCGACCATGGAAGTAAATCGTGGAAGCGCTGTTCTAGGTGACGTCGCGAAACCGCAAGAACAATTGGGGCCCCTCCAGAGTCGGTTCTTCCTCAATATGAAATTCTTGTCGCAAGTATTAAAGTGTGTGGCCAGGCGCTTAACTAGCAACACACTGTCAATTTAGTCGAATGGCCACACGTGGACGCGGTTAACCTTCCGCGCAAAAGGCGGTGATGCGACAGGCCATGAGACGCTCGCAACAATCTTGGCAACTGCGCAAAGTTGAGTTGGAATCATCTTCAATGATGACATCAGCTAGGATTGGAAAATCCTATGCTGCGTTGCCAGTGTTACTCTGCTGCGTACATTGTGATCTTCAAACCCTAGTCCGCTCGTTGAGCCAGACATCATGCTGCGATCAGAGAGACGACAGATAGCTGATACCTTGACTGTAAAACCCGCACATGCTGCCTTTTTTTCATGTCGTTATGCTGGACTTTTGCCGAGGCATGAAATAAGCTTGGTGCTCTGGTTCTGCCTTGCCTAGGGTCTTACTGTTGTATGCTTGAGGACAGGAGCCTACCAGTGACTCCGGGCCAAGATCCGTGGTGTTTACATCGATACTGTGTGTAAGCCGGGACCGGTACGTGGGAACCTGGGGTAGCCTACCCACATCACGGTTCACGGATCACCTAGCCAGTGACAGCGAGCGATGGTCGCATCGTCGAAAAGAGACATCTGCACAGTACTTAGAGATTTCCAGATAAGGGATTTGAGGGAATTGAAGGCCAGTAATATCTGCGAGAACGCTCGTAGTGTTGAAGCTTGACATTCGACCAGATGGAAATGAAGACACCAGGACCGGGAAGAGCCGCACTGGGCTGCGCTACAGCGCAAGAAAGCTGCGTTGTAGATTTGTCTTGGTACTTCCTGCGGACTGAACGATAGGTAACAGCTAGCTCCAAGCTAAAGAAGGGTGTTTGCCCATAATGGCAAATGCACTTGACGATTTGAGTGTCTGGCAGACCTGGTTTTTCTCCTCGGCTTCTCTGCGCCTTGTAGCAAGGCTGGTCGTGAAGTTCCCCGCATGATTCCAAGAAATATGAACCTGCTCAATAGGCCGCAGGCAGCTTGACAGACATGGGAGGTCGACGTTCGAATTGCTGCCCGTCCAGCTTCTTCACTGGCAAGGCCGCTAATCAGGTTTGAGCGGCCTTCTTGTTTTTTGTAGCTGCATCGGAGAGACAATCGTTCTTAGATGAGCTTGAACCGGGCGTTTTCCATCGATGATTACAATGGAAGGTCACTTGCAAGGTCGTTAGAATGCGAAGAGAAGGAAGCCACGATTAGCGTCTTGGCGCTGCCCCTCTTGCGCGGACGCAGGCACCCCCAGCGTACATCGCCGTACCCATACTCCGGTGATGTTTTTCGCAGTCATGTCCGCGAACGGGATGGCTACATCTTCCTTGAAAGCCTAACATTCTGGTCCCAAAGTCTTGTCGCCAGGTGCATTTGCGTCGCTCTCATCTTGGACTCAAGGCCCAGCGCAGTTTCCAGACACGACTGATTTCTGGCGGAAATGATTGAACTTTAGTAGGGTAAAGTTTTGCAGATTCGGCCCTGAGTGAGATGAAGAACTCAAACTCTTCAATCACCTT